AAAAAAAAAAAAAAAAAAAAAAAACGGAAAATCAAAGTACGCATGATGGAGACCGGAAATCCCAGGGCGTTCAACCCTGACACCCGTTATATATTTAGACCTAAAGAGACACACTCTAATCTGATCGCATAAATACCTTCGCGACAATCTATCGGATGCTGTGTAGAGTAAAATGCAATAATTTAGAATATAGTAAGTTTATATTTTGAGAAAGGAAGAAAACTCGGTTGCTTCCTCACAGAGATTCACCATCGATTCATGTTATATAAATTTGAGACTATTTAAATGATCTAAAATAACACATACATTGGCACCCTTTTAAGAACTTATGCAATAGATAATCTATGCCATTTCTGAAGAACTATGTCCATTAGCACATTGTCGTGATAATATCGATAGCCCCTTCCCCTCTCGAAAAAGAGTTAACGCTTCCGTGAAGGAAGTTGATCGTTTCCTATTTGCTTATTGCATAACCGCGCACGCAACACTGTGCCAGTATATCGAGCCTACCCCTATTCATACATTAAGTTTCAAAATAACGAATTATGTGTATAGGTTTTTGCACTTCTTTAATGTTTTATCAATTATAGTTTCTTTACGTAATGAAATTACTGAACATTCTTCTTCCTCTCGCTAAAAATTTATAAAATATTATCTCGCTAAAAAATTTATAAAATATAATTTATAAAAATTTATAAATTTATAAAATATTATAAAATTTATAAAATATTTATAAATATATTATAAATGTTATCGATAGACTGCGGATTTTTATACTAATACACATAAACAAATTAACAAAAGGAACAAGAATCCATAGATTGTCACGATAATGAAATATCTCTGTTATTGTTAATATTTAATAAGTGAAAAAGTTCTGCTTGAATCCTATTTTTTGAATTATTCTCATAAAAAATTCACAATTATCATTTTTTTCAAATTTTAACATATCGTTTTGGAATACCTATATCATAAAAAAAAAAATTCGATTAAATAAGAATATCTTGTAATTTTCTTTAATATTTCTTAATTGTTAAAGATTTAATAATAAGAAGAAAATATTACAAATTTAATAATAATAATGACGATTGAGAAATATAATTAAAATACTTTTAATTTATGATCAGTAAGTAAACGAATAGTTAATGAATAACAAAGATCAGAAGAAAAATTTTCTTTGTGAAAAGCCACTCGTAAAAGCTGCAAAATATTCGCGTCTTTAGAAACACAATATCAGCAGTGGCGGCCTTCTCGAAATAGACGAGAAGCCCAGCCCTCCAAACTCATCCGAAAATAAAACAGGTTTCTTTCCTGCGAACTACGCTGTCCGATTGGTAGATTCTGACGGGAGAGTTTGCTGATTAATCAATAATTAAAAAAAATTATAATTTACATCCCGTTAGGTATTGAAATGCAGAAAGATAACCTGCAACTTGCATTAATTTTTTTTCTCTTATTAGTTGTAGTAGCAATTTAGGACAATTGTAAAATAAATACTCAAATAATGTATAGTTAACAAAGAAAAATCGATTTTTTAAAAAAAATCTGATCACTTTTTAGAGAGTTCTGTATGAGAATATTTATTATTAGTACTTGTATTTACAATTAATAATTGAATATTTTTAATTAATAATTAAATATTATCATACGATGCAGAACAAGTCTCGTGATTTTCGGATAATTGATATTGTTCCCTATTTTGAACATTTTTCATATTCAAGATCGATAATAGTATATCATTGAAATGTGAAGGATGATTTATCAATAATGCATTAGAATTATAGGATGACAATCTTATGATTGGCTGATGATCGAGAGAGTCACTGATATTTCATATATTTTACAACATGTTTTACAACTTCGATTGCGAAAGAATCTTTATATTGTCGCAACTTCGATCACAACAAATCGGGCGAAAAAGTCCAATTAATTTGAACGATTTGCGTGTATGAACTCATACGACAACGGACGATCGCATCGCGTTCAATATAGCCGCTTACATTGTTTTTGGCAACATTTGATTGTTTCGTCTATTACACATTCAGTGTAATCATAGCCTTAAATATCAATCGATGCACTAATAATAAATATTCTCATACAGAACTCTCTAAAAAGTGATCAGATTTTCCATTAAAAATGTCATGTGTCGCACAAACATATTTTTCTTGTCATAATTTTCAATCAGTGGAACAGTTTAGTTATAATATCACGAGAAATATGACATAGTAATTATATTATAATGACTAAATTATGCCATCAATTAAAGATTTTGATAATAAAATAACATTTACATGGAGAAAGTTGTTTTCAACGAGAAATGATTTACACAGATTGGCTTTGAACCTCGATTCTTTTGAATTCATTTTAAAGAAACATTTGGTTAACAATGTTTGTAAAATACTTACATACAAAACGTTAAAGAGAAAAAATAATTTGATAACTGTGAGACAAATATTTCTATGTTTAAAATAAGAGTTAAATATTTAAAAAATAAACAATATCTTATAAATCACGAATATTTTTACTTTTAGTTTAAAATACTATTATGTACTACATTATAAAAACTGATTATAATAATTCATAGTTATCGCATATGCATAGACATGCAAATCTAAATTCCTTTGAAAATTACAAATTCGTTAATGTTTGTCATTGTTTTCAATATTTTGTTTGTATCATTATTGTTTGTGTAATACACATTTATCTTATGTCTTGCATTAATAGCAAATAATTCCATTATGCTTGATCCACCTTCATTTTCAAATACTTTCCAATTTATTTTTGTCTTATTCATATCCTTGAAATAATCATCACTTTCATCATAGATATAATCATTTTCATTAATAATCTTAATATTTTTATTTTTCTTTTTTGCTTATTTTTTCTGATATTAATAAGTTTTTCTGATATTTCCATTATGTATTTTGTATTACAGAAATTGCGCTTTTTCTTTCTCTAATGAATCAGACAAATTTTAAAGAATTATTACTTATCTATCTAGATAATATTATATATGTGTAGTTTATATGTTCATACATATATTTATATGTTTATACATATTTTTTACCAGAATTTTGATATTCGTTATTTATTTATCATCCATTCAATGTTATAAGTGTCATTAGTTTTATTGACTACTAGTTTTAAAAAAAGTTCCTTGTTAATTCCTTTGAT